TTGAAAGAAATACTTAAGATATCATTAAATATAGAGCCAATATTTTGTTTTGTTTTAAAGTTATCATAATTTTTCAGTCATTTTGAAGGAAACACTTATAAAGGTGTAGTTCGAAAACACACAAAGATACTTGTCAAATTTACACACACACACACAAACTTAAATCGTAGGAAATGTCACGTAGAAATTCCATCACTGGCTTGTTTCTGTACAATGGTAATATAGCTTCATGTCATCTGTTAAGTTGGAGGTACTTTATCTTGCTTGCAGCTTTACTTCGTTCTCCAGCATAGTACCTCAGAATCTTGTTCTCAGTGTTCTCCTGTTCTCTGAGGAAGTGAGAGATTAACTTGTACACATAAGGGTGATGATCGTCAATAGACAGCTGAAATGTATGGTGCCATCCCTCCACTGAATTGTTTGCTCGTGGTATATTGTCCTGCACACAGTCTCTAACATTCCATGATGCTATCGGAAATTTTGGAGTCACTCTGCGGTTTTGTCCCTGGCGACCAATAAAGTTGTCCTCCCAATAGTCATACAAATTCAAATACAAATGATATAAAATTTAAAGTTCTCTCGTTCTTTGCAAATATGGCATCATTTCAGATCTGTTAATATTGAAAAAGATATAGACATTAACAAAATGAAGCCCTTGACATTAAATTACTAATAATCCGGCACTTTTATACACATCATATTTAAGTCTGCACTGCTTACCTCCCAAGCATGAGGAAGGGGCTACAAAAGGTGCCCTAAACATTGCCTGTCCCCCATGACCCTGGCCAGTCTCCCGCAACTGGGGAGGATCCCACTAATGCGAGAGAGACAAATCAAACACAAACCTCAAGAAAAAACAAATCAAAACACATGAACTCACACTCTGCGCCTGGAATGTCGCACTCTACTTGAACGTGCTTAATCAATGTACACCACCTTTGAGATGTGCGAGTTTCGCCTTTCCCACCACAGTAGAACACTGACTTTTATTTTCCTGTACCGCCCACCACCAAGCAAGAGAAATAAATTGACAACAAAAGTTTTCATCAAAGATTTTCAAGACCTCCTTGACACATATCAACAAAAGATCTATTTGTTATAGGTGATGTGAACTTGAATTTTGACAGTGAAAATGAGACATACACGATGTCGCTGAAAAATGCGCTAAAGGATCGCAACTTAGACCAACTGATAAATGTTCCGACACACGTCAAAGGCCATACTCTTGACTGGATTGTTACAAATGCAAGTGAGCTTATAGCCATACTCAATGTCTCAGACCGTGGCTTGTCAGATCATTTTCTTGTACACTTTGAAATGCGCCTATCAAAAGCAAAAAAGCCAAAGAAAAACGTGACTTCCTGTAAACTTAAAGCCATAGATATTGCCTCCTTCAAAATGGACGTGACCTCTTTGCTGTTGCAACAGAGCAACACAGACGTTTTCAGCAATTACAATTCTTGCTTGAAAAAGTTGCTGGACAGCCATGCACCTCTTGTCACTCGTACAGTCTCAGTTAGGCCATCTGCACCCTGGTTGATGGAAGACATAAAGACTGCCAAACTTATTCGCGGACGTGCCGAACGTACATTTCAAAAGACAGTTCTGATGATACATCGACAAATAAACATACTAGAAAAAAACAAGGTTAACCGTATGATTAGAGACGCAAAAGCTAGTCATATTTGACAAAAAATCGAAACTTCTGATTCTTCAAAGGAGCTATTTAGGATCACCGCTGAAATGTTAGGGGGAGCAAATAACGACGTTTGCCGTCATCTATCCCAGTATTTGAACTTCCTGATTCCTTCAATAGATTCTTCATTGGGAAGATTGAGCAGATTAGAAATGAGCCATCCCTCTCATCACAGCTTGACCACTCTCCAATTTTTCAAAATACTCCTTTTTGCGAGTTTCAGCGTGTATCTGAAGATTATGTCAAAAGTACTATTTTAAAGATGCCAAATAAGTCATGTGACCTTGATCCCATTCCAACTTCCTTGCTCCTTGAATGTTTAGATGAGCTTGTACCTACAATTACTAACATTGTGAACTCTTCACTGACTTAAGGCATTGTACCACAGCAATTTAAGCATGCACTTGTCAGGCCCTTATTAAAGAAATCAGGTCTTGACCCGGAATGTCTAAAAAACTATCGCCTGGTATCAAATCTTCCCTTCCTGTCAAAGCTTCTGTAGCGCATCGTGTTAGCGCAAATTCTTTCTCATCTTGAACAGTACTGTCTCTTGGAAGAATTTCAATCTGCATATAGGAAGTGCCGTAGCACAGAGACAGCAGTGGTCAGGGTACTAAACGACTTACTTCACAATTCCGACAAAGGCCACATATCAATTCTTTCCATGCTGGACTTGTCCGCAGCCTTTGATACGCTAGACCATGAAATTATGATGGCCAGATTCTCTGCAACTTTTGGTTTAGCAGGAGTCGTCCTAAAGTGGCTTTGATCCTACCTGACGGAACGCACCCAAAGTGTCGTTGTTAGCGGGACGGAATCAACAAGCTTACTTTTGAAGTACGGAGTACCCCAAGGATCAGTTCTAGGCCCTGTACTGTTCACTTTGTACACATATCCACTCAGCGGTGTCATACGGCCAACCGGCATCTTATACCATTTCTTTGCCGATGACTCACAGTTATACGATTCATCAGTACCCTCAGAGGTGTCGCATCTGGCAGAGAAAATCAGTAGTACCGTTGCAAGGGTGAGCAATTGGATGGTTGAAAATAAACTCAAGATGAACGAAGACAAGACAGAAATAATTAAGATTGGCACTAGGAAAATGTCTCAAAAGTTGAAAGCACATATTCTCTCTTTATCACGAACTGCCATGTTCCTTTTGTCCATGTAGTGTGGAATCTTGGAGTTTTCTTCGACTCAACACTATCTTTCGACCCACACATAAGTCAGCTCTGCAAAGGTCTTTATCTGCAGCTGCGCAGATTAGGCCAGATCCGACCATATTTAACAATGGAGTCAACAAAAATGCTAGCTGTGGCATTCATACTCTCCCGCCTTGACTACTGCAACGCCGTGCTAGCAGGTATACCTGATGACAAAATAGCCAAACTGCAACATATACAGAACAACGCCGCTTGAATAGTCCTTAAAAAAACTAGACAAGATTCTGCTACTACGCTCTTGCGCACGCTCCATTGGCTTCCCGTGAAAGCGAGAATCGATTACAAGGTCGCCACACTTTGTCATCAGTGTATATATAACAACGAGATGCCCTTGTACCTTAGCGAACTGATTACTCCATATGTCCCCCAGATAGCCCTGCGCTCAATGGACGCTTTTAGTAGTGCCACGTTTCTCCCTCAAAAGCTACAGTCTGCGGGCTTTTTCAGTTCATGGACCAAAGGTTTGGAACTCACTCCCGATTGATCTCAGACAGACAACATGCTACACCACTTTTAAGAAGAACATTAAGACCTATCTGTTTAAAACTTTTTTAGATTAACTGTCATTTTAGCTCTTGTGTTTTTGTTTGTAATGTTGTTACAGCGCCTTGAGCCTACATTTTGTTTGTTAACAGCGCTTTATACATAAAATTATTATTATTATTATTAAACCGCCATGAACATCGTACTGCTCTTGTGGCAAGAGAATCTAGATATTGCTGCCCTGAGAGAAATGCGACTTGCACAAGAAGGACAGTTAACAGAAGTGACGCAGGCTACACGTTCTTCTGGATTGGCAAAAATAGCTGTCCAACTTGAACAGTATCAATGCAACAGTAAAAAGGTCCCAACTTTGATGGGCGGAACATGTAGTCCGCATGCCAGACAATCGCCTTCCCAAATGACTTCTGTATGGGGAGTTGTGTGCAGGAAAGCGCTCCCTGGGAGGCCAATACAAGTGCTACAAAGACAATCTCAAGAACTCCTTCAAGGAATGCAATATCGACATTCATGGCTGGGAAGCACTAGCTCTCGATTGCTTCTCATGGTGTGAAGCTGTGAGTCTCAGAGTCTCAAGATTTGAAGCAAGTAGAGTGGCCAGGGTGAAAGAGCGTCGAACCAACAAAAAGCTGAGAGAAGAAGCAGGCCTATCTGCAACTGACCCAACCCACGTATGCGCCCTGCTTTTTAAAGCAAGGATAGGACTTTACAGTCATCTTCGAGTCCATAGGAAATGAGAAATGTGCTCATCTTTGACCACAAAGGAGGATATATATATATATATATATAATGAAAGTGCCAATAAATATTAAAACAATGACTCTGTCCTAGTGGATTGAGATGTAGTTTCATCAAGCTGATGGTGCCAAAGAACCTGCTTTACCTAGAAAATGTTTATTTTTTAATTTCTTTTTTATATTTAATGTATAGTTAAATGATAGTGCCAAATAACGAGTTTGATACCCTGCTTGACCTAAAAAAAATTCAATTTATAATTTCTATTTTATATTTAATTTTAGTTTAATTTGTATAATGGAGGTATTGTCTTTTTTAAAAATGTATTTTTAATATTATGATTCTCTAATCTCTTTTATATATTATGTTTTCAGTGCCCCATTGAATGGTTTCATTATGGATGCGTTGGATTATCTCAAGCACCTAAAGGAAAATGGTACTGCCCCCAATGTACAGCAGCAATGAAAAGACGAGGGCGCCGATAATATGGTGTAAATGTTTAGTGTTTATGTTAAAATATGATAATTAATTTTTAAACAAAGTCTCTGGGTTTTTCAGATACTATATTCTATTAGTATCTTTAGATTACTGCATCTGATGTTGAATTTGACATGTTCTGTTATTATCCTTACCAGTGTATCAAAAATTTCTTTTTACAAATTTTGGTACACTTGAAGTGTTACCAGATGTTGCCGACTTGTATTTTTTTATAAAGCAACTGAAACAAGATAAAGTAAAAATCATAAACAAAATATTTTGGGGTTCTGCTAGAAATTAAAGTCCCAAGAATTTTGTTTCATTCCCATGCTGTACTGATGTTCAAAATCTGGACAACCCCCCCCCCCCCCCCCCCCCATCATGTCAAGCTGATTTAAACATTTAACAAAGATTGACCTGTTGAATTTACATTTATTTAAGTAGAATAATACTTCTGGAACAAATTCAATTGGCAAAAAGTGGTCACAATGTATTTTACTATTTCTACCCTTGAAAAATTTTGAATGAAATATAGCGAGTGAAACTTTTTTTTAGGACTTAAGTTATGGTTTAATGTTGGTGCTAACTTCAGTTTTAAAGGTTGTTCATAAAAAAAAAGTGTATAGCCTACATGTATATAAATTAAATTTACTGTATACATAATCAGCGCTTGTATATGAAGTGATTGTATCATAGATATGTACATTTGTAAAATATAATATTTCTTTCTTCTGTCTTGTGTTGTTTTTTTTTAGATTGCATGATGTCATTTCAAAGCACAAACGACCTTTTTTTTTTTTTTTTTTTAAATTCTTTGATAATAAAATTAAAATTATATAGCTTTATCTGTCTGAAGAGAATTAAGTGTATTTTTTTCATGAGGCTAATCAGAACCAACTGTGATCTACATAGCCAATGGCTAATTTTTCTTTTAGTTACCTATAGCAGTAGCTTTTGCTCTAAGTCACAAATGTTTGAGCCACAATTTTAGAAAGTTTTCTGTTTCTCTCAAAAGTTAGTTGCTGAGTTCACCTAGCACATCAGCAGGTCTAGAAGCAGTGAGCACTGTAAGATACATCAACTCATCACTGGAATGTGGAATTACCGAGCCTAGTGTTCCACTTTAGAAATAAACATATAAGTGGCAGTTTTCTTTTGCACAAAAACAAGATTCATTTATACCAGTACCTCTATTCTAGTCATAACTTCATGAAGGAACCTGGACACTGATCTCAAAAATGGCTCTAAAGATTTCTTATAAATTAAACAGTTGATGTATATCGCTGAGAAAAGAATTACTAGCTGGTTGGCCACACAGGGAAAACTCAGGTTTGATGGTTATCGTTTTTCAAGTTAAAAATGAAATGGAATTTAAATTTGGCTATAAATTGGTGTAACTGAGTTATTTATTAAATTTAAAGTTACTTAAAGTTTATTGATAGATTTGCTTTGCTTTTATTTTTACATAAATCTAAAATAGATTACACCTAAACTCAAGAAGTATATCCAGATTAGATCTTAGAGTTCTAGATCAAAAGTCTAAATCTAGTTGTCTATATAAGGAAAGTATCAAAAAGTTTTTACTACATTATACATTTCTTGCTGGCCTAGTGGGTAGCAGCATTTGTACAAAGAGCTGAGGTTGTCAAATTCACAAGTTCGATAACTGGTTTGAGCTTAACAAAAATTTAAATATTTTATTTTAAGTTGAATGAAGGAAGCATAGTCCTTTTTTTTTTTTTATGTTTTTCTTGTTATACTCTGAAAAGAAATCAATCACAGACTAATATTTTTTACTTTGATTTGATATTGCTTAGAAAAATGAAAATAGGACATTGTGCATTCATCACCATGCAGTTATTGTGCGTTTCACATCCAAATAAGAAATCTTACTTTTGTTCCTTTAGGATCCTACACTCTCAGAACTCTAGCTGTTAGACTTGGCTTGGGTTCTCTTGCCTGGACTCTCTTCCTAAGAAGATACCAGTGAGGTATTAGAAACAAAGAAACTTTTGTTTTTTATGACCTTTTAATTGTAAATCTGTTACTTCATTTTTGGTCTGACATTGCCTTTTTCTTATCAGTGTCTCCAATCAAATTTTGATCCTGTAAGAATGAATTAAATGTTAAATGATAGTTACGTGTTTTTTTTTTCTGTGGGTTGGTATCAATTTCAGAAAATTGTTCCACTGTTTGTTCTTTATTAGATCTATTTCTATCTATTATGTATTATAGCTGTGCTTATGCTGTTCTCAAATTGGTTTCATTTTCTTCTCTTTACATTTATAACTAGACACCATGTCTCTTTTCATGTACATCTGATTTAAATCATGACGGTCGTCTCGATATGGTCCCGGATTCATAGCTTGCCACTCGCCGCCCCCCCCCCCCCCCCCTTTCCCCGTCGTCTTGCGGATGTGTGTACTAGGAAGTAGATTATTATCTTCAACACTGAAGGAACATCAGTAACCATTTACAGCAGGCATGTCAAACACGTCGTTCGGGAACCACATGCGGCCCGCTTGGCCGCCTAAAAAATTATAAAAATTACGCTGGAAAATAAGAGATGACAAGCTACTTGAATTGAAAAATAGTATTTGTTAAACTGGACAACGAGAGTGAGTCTGCAGTCTTTTGTCAAACTTTATTGCAAGCCATAACAAATCATTTAGTCAAGGGGATTTTAGGAAGGAGTGTGTCGTTAAAGCTGTCGAAGTAATTTATCCAGAAAAGGTAAAAACATTCAAAGAAATAGCGTTAACTAGGAACACTGTGGCAGATAAAATAAATGACATGTCAAACAGCTCGCGTGAATAATTAAAGTACAAAATAGTTGATTTTGAATTATTTTCATTGGCTGAAATTAACTATCGATGAGTCAACTGATGTAACGGGTGTTGCACAGTAAGCTTATATTCATAAGGGCCTGTGATAGGAATTCTGACATACATTGAGTTCTAGAGTTCTATGCATAACACTACAACAAGGGATGATGTTTTGAGAATTAACAGGATGTGATATTGCAGTACAATTTACATCAGGTAAAGCTAGCTAGTCTAATAACGGATGAACCATGAAATAAAATGCTTTTGATGCAAAGCTACTTGCAAAAATAAGAGACTGATGCTAATTTTTAATTTGCTCATTTTCAGTGCATCGCCAAGAAACATTCTGCGCACAGCAATTACGGTTCCAACATGTTATAAGACCGGTTTCAGTCGCTCTCAATTTTATTCGTGCCCGTGGCTTAAATAATCGCCAATTTTCAATGTTTTTGGATGACATTGGACACGACGAATTTGATTGTGTTCCCTGCTACACAGAAGTCCGCTGGCTCTCATGTCATAAAGTATTGAAGAGATTTTTTTGCACTGCGTGAGGAAATTGTATTGTTTATGAACATGAAAGGTGAACCTATTGAAAATTTCCAAACTGACGAATGGGTTCAGGATTTGGCATTTGCAGTTGGTCTCACTGGTCACCTGCAAGACTTGAATCGGAAAGACAAAAAAATTGTCACAACTGCGTGTGATGATGCGAAGTGCTTTCAAGCGAAATTACGACAGTAAAAGAGAATCTTGTTTACTTCTCATTGTGTCAGCAACTAAAAAGATTAAATGCGGTTACAACATTTGGTAAAGATACTTTCAATTACAGTTTTTGTGACTTCGTTTCATACGAGCAAGAATTTTCATTGTTTGTAGGCCTATCTCCCTTTCATTTGCTTCTGAAAATGCTGCTGGTAATGTGCTGATAGAATAGCAGTCAGATTTTTTGTTGAAAGCGAAGTATATAGAAGTGGCTGAGCCAAAATTTTATAGTTATTTACTTGAATGGTACGTTGAATTGCGGAGAATGGCAGGTCATGAAACACAGTTTATCATATCTTCAAATAGTTCAGTTCATGAAACACAGTTTATAGCAAGTTTATCCGTATCACAGTCTTTAATCACAACATTACCACATTTAAAGGAACTTTTTGAACAAAAGTGCCTAAGAAAAAATCGAAAAAATCTTGGAAGACAACGGCCACCCGCTCCATCAGAACTACGCCAGGTCGTCGCGAAGTGGTCGACTGCTGTCAATCAAAACAAGAACGGAGCGGTACAAAAACTCGTTCGTACCTCACTCAGTCAGACTCTATCAACGCCACTCATTGATCAGGGAACATGAAATGCACCAAGATACCTGTGTGTAGTCGCTGAATGAACTTTTTATGTTGTCTGTTGTATTTATGTGTATTTTTCTGTTGTGCTGTCTTAATATGAGAAAAGAGTCCTTGTAATCACAACAAATTTCCGTAAGGATCAATAAAATAGTCTTAGTCTTAGTCTTAATTTCAACACAGTCCATCTTGCCATCTGGTATCTGCCTTGTATAGGTACTGACACTGAGTAAAAAAAAAAAAAACACTGATCAGGGCAAATTAAAATAATGCGTAAATCAAAGTAATTTTAAATTATCAAATTGTACTACAAATTTAGCTAACTAAGAGACAGGTATGCCATTAATTATTGTTTCTTCTTCTTCTTCGTTCTCATTGTTATGTTGGAGCGTTCAGATGACTAGACCAATATATGCGATGATCTGCGCAGTGGTTTCCAAATCAGGGAGCTCTCCATTTAGTTTTGGAGGACGTGGTCGGCATTCTCTGGTGATACTCCACATGGGCAGATTTCACTGGTTCCAATTTTGAGCTTCCGGTACATGTGTTGTCACATTCTGTTGTGTCCGGTCCTGAGTCGAAAGATTAGACGTTGGTCTTGTCGGGATAGCTTATAGTAAGCGTCATCTTTCTTGTGATTTGGATGAGAGCTCGTCCATTTCTCATTTATTTTATTTACAATTAATTTCTTCAATTCTTCTGAAATTAATTACCGTGTTGTATTCTATTCATGGGCGTAGCCCGGGGGGGGGGGGGTTGGACCCCCCCCCCCGAAATGAAATCCCCCCACAGGGGGGGGGGGCGGAATTCATTGACTGATTTTTTGCTTTCATTTTGTTTATTTTAGGTGAGATTTTAATACTAAATCATCACTTACCACAGCACAGTCGAGGGGGGTTTTGAGTTTTAAAAAAACCCTACCAGGGGGTTTTGAGTTGAAAACCCCCTACTAGGGGTTTTGCCGTTAAAGCTCCCTCTTCTATAAACAAAACTAAAAAAAATGCAATTGACAATCCCCAAATTCCAAGAAAACAGCTAAGGAAGATTTTGACTTTAAAACCCCTTCAAAAATTACAATAAAAATATAAAAAAAAAGCAAATTACACATTCAAAATTCTATGAGCCAAAGGGATTTAGAGTTGCATAAACGGATGTCTTTTACAATAGTATTTTTCTTAGTTTACTTGTTTGAAGGTAGGCATAATTAGGCCTACTCAGCCTTCGTCTTACAACACTAATAATAAAGATTTTATTTTTAACAAAGGGGGGAAAGCAGAAGAAAGATATATTGAGACCGTAATAGATCTAATCATGCTATAAATACCGCTTTTAGTAACGTGTAGCGTCATTGAATAAAAATAAACTTTGGCGTAATATAAGTGTAATATCTTGATGTAATAATGATAATACAATCGAACGAAATTTACGTTTTTAGTGAGGTGTGTTTTTTATCTGGTCATGTGACAAATCACATGTTAGCAGTTAAACAAGATGGCAGAAACCACTGAATACTTGCCACTCGTACTATTTTTCTTGGCATTATTTGTACCTGGTGTCGCAGCATTTGATGCCGGCGATGCCATAGCATTGGTGATTGGGCTTATTATTGGAATTTTAGGTATTTGTGCAT